AAAAAAAAATGCTATAAACGGGAACGAATGTGGTGTAATTGTATTCTATTTCAGAGATATTTGATTCAATCAGGGTTTGCCTCGTGACATATAATTTTCAGATGCCGCAATCGAGCAAATTGCTATCCTAAAACACATAACATCTCTTCTATCTTTAAATCGATTTATGTATGTGTATAGGTACGATGGACGTGGTGCTCTGGGGGACTTACGGATATACGAACCACCAACAGGTGGGTTCGATCAACGAACGATCCTGACTGAAGACGAACTAAAAGTGGAGCAATTATGTGATGAAGAACGGTATCGGTCTCTGTACAACAATGAAACAGAGGATGCTATGCATCATGGTAAGCAGATTGTGGGACACTTGTGTTACCTTGTGTTACCTTGTGTTGTGTGTAAAGTAAAACATAGTAGAACACATATGATTGTTTTTTAGAGGAGGAAATGAAAAGGCTACATCAGGCTTTGGATTCAGAGAATACATACAGTCAAGTAGCGTACGACTATAATGAGGAGGGAAACGGATCGAAAATCACGTGTGAAGATTCACAAAGTCCAAAACGGTCTGAGGGTTCCCAGGAAGAGGATCAGGCCTTCATTCCACCACCTGATCTGGAAATCCCACAGGGTATTGCATTGGTTGGTAAACAAGAACTATTAAATGATTATATATATTATTAGTTATATAACTCAAATTTTAATGATGTTTATTATTGCTCGTTAACAGCCGGAAACGCAAAAATTGAATGCCATCATAACGAAAACGGCGCTATTTATAAGTCGTCAAGGCGGCCAAATGGAGATTCTGATTAAAGCGAAGCAGGCGAATAATCCACAATTTTCCTTCTTATCGATAGACGGACGGCTACATCAATATTATAGATATATACTGGATGCAATCAAGACTGGGAAGTATAATCCTGAAAAGCAGCCGGAGAAAGAAGAATCCGGTACGCATATTGTTTTATTTAAGAGAACATCTTATTGCAACATTTTCGAAAACGTTGACACTATTATGTCGTGTTAAAATAATCGAAGAGATTTAAAGCAGGATTTATTTACCGACATCTACTTTGATTCTACTTAGCTTTTCCATCCGTAAGTATTTTCTATGTTATATATGCTAATCCATGTTAATCTCTGTAACCGATAGGAAGTATTAGAAAGCCGTTGTACAACTGGATGTTCCATTAACTTGTATTCTTTTCAATGATAGAACATGAAGAAGGATCATCCGATCAAGACGATGAACCGTACCTTCATCCAAGCTTGGCGTCGTCGTTGACTAAAATAGAAGCGGTATGTAATCTATAGTTGATGTATTCAGACGCACCTTTCGAATGCACGAAATGCGTGTTCTCGAGGTTCGCGAGAATTCTTGTGAAATTGGCTCGAATTCGAATCGATGAATTCGTTGTTGTTTTCAGGCTCCCAGCATTCCCAGTATACAGTACAAACCATCAGCGGATTGTGCTTATTCGATGCTTGTAAATAAAATAACCGGGAAACCGCCGCCTTCGAAAGCGCCGCTGCAACATCCTGAAACCACAATTCCATCAGCCACTAATACAGGGTATTATCATCCTGCGCAAGGACAGGTAAGAGATTTAGATAACGTGTAAAATTAATAGAAGCACGATTAAATACGATACGCAATGTGACATTATATTCTTTTATTTTCTGTAGAATTATAACTCTTACTCAACCTCAGTTACTGCAATGACTGCAACAGGAACGGCTACAACAGCTGCCACACCTGTACAATACTCTCATGGTCCAGTAATATACGGACCAAACGGACAGATACAGTCACCATTGCAAATTACTGTAGCGAACGTATTACCATCTACGAATGAAATGGTGACGACACAGGTTGCGATGAATGAGTCACAACCGTCGCTGGTACCGTACGGAACTACATGTCAGAAACAATTGAGTAGGCCTTCATTTATCGTTCCACCAGCGGATGTACAAATAATTATTGATAAAATGGCGAGTTACGTGGCGAAGAATGGTAGAGATTTCGAGGCGATAGTAAAAAATAAAGGAGATCCGAGGTTCAATTTTCTTGAACTGTCACATCAATATCACGGCTATTATGCGCACAAGCTGACAATATATGAAGGCGCAGTAAATCCGAAAGTGCTAACAGAGGAAGAGTTATTACAAAAACAAAAGCCACAGGAGGAAAAGCAAAAGAAATTGGAAGAATTACAGAAAAAGCAACAAAGAATGGAGGAAGTGCAGAAGAGAGTAAAGATGATACAGGCGAAAAAGAAATGCGAGCCAAAGTTGAAAGAAACGGCAACTGCGACGTCGACAATGACGACCACGGCGATGAGTATGAATGCGGAAGGTGTGAAACAAGTGACGACGGTTTCCTTTTCAATAAAAAAACCAAAGGACGTGGACACCGGAGTGATTGAAAAGCGAAATGCACTGCCACTGGAAGAGAGCGACGATGAAATGGAGGGCGAGAGCAAAGACGGGAATTCAAAGCCGAGCTCGCCGCAAGAATCAAACGAACAAAGTTTGCTCTCTAGTGTCGGAATTCCGATTGACAAAGATGCCGGTGGAGTCTGGAAATCGGAGAAAAAATGGAAGAACGAGGATAAAGAGCTGGTAGATCTGACGGATGAGATTCTAGAAGACTGTCAAAAGGAGATTAGGCATAAGCAAGCCGAGGATAGAATCAAGGATAAGCTAGTTGCTGCAGCGCGTGACAAACTGGCAGCAACTTCGAGAGAGAGGCAACTGCAGTTGGAACGAAAGAAGAAAGCGGCAGCGTTCTTGAGCCAGATACAAAGTTCTAGTTTACCGAAAGGTAGTGGAACAATGGCGACTGTCGCGAATCAGATAGGAACGAGGAAAGACGACTCGGACGAAGTGCATTCCGTCCCATCGCCATCTCCCTCGCCATCGATGGACGACGCGAAGTCCTCTTGCGATTCGAGGACCACCGGTGGAAATTCTTTGATGGACAGGCTAAAGAGCGCAGACTTGACCGGCAAAAGGTCTAGACCGCGATCGAGGAGTCCAAGCGGAAGTCGAAGTTACACAGACAGACAAAAATTTCACAAGAAACATAAAAAGAAGAAAAGCTCTCACAGAAGGTACGCGAATTTTTCCATCGATTACCACGTCTAACGTTATCTGCGATGTAGCGACGGTTTAGCCTATGTCCATTTGTAAATGCAACCAGAACCAGAACAGTTTCGATTGTCCGTGATCGATCCTCTGCTTTTCTTCGTTCTCTGTCTCTATCTCTCTTTCATTCTCTCTCTTCCTCTGTTTCTCTCGAAATCGTTTGTTTGTCACAGCAACCACGACAGTCCGAGCAGTTCTCGATCACACAGATCCAAGAAGAGCAAGAAGTCTTCGTCCAAGCATAGGTCTCCGTCGCGAACACCATCTCGAAGACATCATCACAGTACACGACGGAAGGGGAGCAACTCCTCATACTCGGATTCAAGTTCATCCTGAAAATGTATCC